TCTCTTTCACCCAGCAGTCCTAGTTCTGTACTCTGAGTTCAAGAAGAATAAATCTAATCTTTGTCCACCTGGTAATGCTTCAAATACTTGAAGCCATTAGACTTCCTGTAAGCCTCCTTTTCTTTTGGCTAAACATCTACACTTCCTTTAACCAATCCTTACATACATAAACATACAGCCCTTCTGGCAACATGACTGTTCTGCAATGAATACTCTCCCATTTTATCAACATCTTTCCTAAAATGGGGCACAAAGAATTGAACATAATACTTCATAAGTGTTTTAATTAATCAATCAATCAATCAACCAACATTTATTAAGCGCCTAATAGGTGCCAGGCACTGTACTTAGTGTTGGGGATACAAAAAGAGGAAAAGAACAGTCCTGCCCTCAAGAAGCTTATAATCTAATGGGGGCAAAAACATGGAAAGTGATATATACAAACAAGTTACATACAAAATAAATAGGAAAACAATTAAAAGAGGGAGGACACTGGAACCAAGAAGGGTTAGGGAAGGTAGAAGTTGGGATTTTAGTTGGGACTTAAAGTAAATCAGAGATGCCCTTAGTCAGAGTAGAGCGGGGTGGGGGTGGGGGGTGGTATTTCAGGTATTGAGGACAGCCACAGAAAATGCCCCGAGGCAAGAGATAGAGAATCTTGTTCATGAAATAGCCAGGAGGTCAGTGTCATTGGATTGAAGAGTACAGGTCAGGGAGTAATGTATAAGAAGACTGAAAAAGTAGGTTATGATAAGCTCTGAATGCTCAACAGAGCATAATCAGGGCAAAAAATCAACTTATTGCTGGCCACTGTCACTCTTAATTTAGTATAAGATCCTATTAATTTTCCTGGGTTGTCATTTAACTTTTTACTGCTATTGAAATTACAGTTCACTAAACCCCACCCCCCGTTCATTTTTCAGACAAACTACTGTCTAGTTCATGCCTCCCCTATCTAGGATTTGAGGTTTATTTTAACCCAAGTATAAGACTTTATATCCATCTATCCCTATTAAAATACAAAATATACAAGTAAATATCAACAATAATTATAGAATTCATGTAGAAATGGATAAGAAAGGAAATTAGATCAGTAAAATAAGTTAAGTAAGACCTATAAACATGTGCTGAAGAGTAATGTCTGATAAATCTAAGAACAAATTCCTAGGGAAGAGATTCTTACGTGACAGACACCTCTAAAAAATTAGAAAGCAACTTAGTGAAAAGGTTTAAATCAGCATCTTATCATAGTAAATTTCAAATCAATAAACAATCTAAATATAAAAAACCACAATGTAGCAAAATTAGAGAATGAAAGTTCTATCTTTCAAAATTATGTGTGATGCAAAAATTGTTAATCATAGATGATATAGCAGAGATATTAATAAAAGACACTGGATTCCTCGCTGCTCCACAAAAAAGACACCTCAACTCTTGGCACAAGGCATTTTCTCTGGCTGTCCTCTGTGTCTGGAATGTTCCCCTTTTTCAATTCTGTCTAGTAACCTTCCTGGCTTCCTTTAAGTCCCAACTAAAATCTCATCTTTTACAGAAAGCTTTTTCCAACCCCTCCTAATTCTAATGCCTTCCCTCTGTTGATCATTTCCTACTTATCTTGTATATATTTGCTTGTTGTTTCCTCCATTAGATTGTAAGCTCTTTGAGAGCAGGGACTATCTTTTGCCTCTTTTTGTATACCTAGCACTCAGCACAGTGCCTTGTACATAGCAGGCACTTAATAAATGCTTATTGGACTGAATTATTAAATAGATAATTCTGATCACATACAATTAAAATGCTTCTGCAAAAAATAAAAATCAAATCAGGTAGAATCAGAAGAAAAGATCTACAGGGAAAATTTTTGCATAATTATCTAAGACCGACATGCACACTCTACATGTTATTGACATAAGCCAGATCACAGTTTTCAAAAAGAACAAATGCAAAACAACAATAACTATTTGAAAAACAAAGTTCAAAATTAAATTGATTTCTCTTTTCATCTACATACTTCAGCAGGTGACTTATTATTCTGAGCAGTGGACTTGTTTGTAGAACATATAAGTTCTCCTTCTGAATAAGGAAAAATAATATAATAGAACTATATCACAGAAATGTGAAAAATTCCTGACTTTTCTCCATGGTTACACAGCAATCCAGAGACAATCGCTGGAACTTTTCATACCTCAATTTTCTGGCTATTTGCAAGATGATTTCAAATTTTCTTGCAGAAGGCTCAGTAAAAACAAAAATACTTCTTTTGTTACTAAAGAAGTTATTATTTCTGGAATGGTCATAACTACTAGCCCCCAAATGAATATTAAGCGGTATAATATAGTTAAGTGATTGTGTTTGGTAGCAATCTATGAAACATAAGGTTTAAAATTTGCTTTTTCTCAAAATATGACAAGCTGTTTTCTAGTTATGTCAGTAACTGAGCAAGTTGCTTGCATAAATTACCAACATATTCCAAATTCCTAAAAAACAAATAACCATCTATACTACTAATCTTTTCCCCACAAAGTATAGATAGAGGAAAACCTTTTAAAAATTACATGATTGAATTTTCCTCTAACAATTTGTCTGCTTAGGCAGGCATGTTAACAGTACATTATTTACTATATTATTTACATTATTACTTAATAAAAATAGCACCTCATATAAAATTTAGGTGAATTTGGAGAAAGTATCCAAACATCTAAATACATACACACATATATATGTGTGTATATATATATGGAGGGGGGGGGGACAGAAAAAAGAGTTAATTTCATTACTTAAACTCTTTAGATTTTCAAGCCATAAATATTTTTTTAAAGTTATATAGCTTCCAAACTCAGGCACTTAGAAATGGACATGGATCAAAACTCTAGAGCTAGAAGAGACCTCAGAGGTCATCTGGTCTAACTCCCTCATTTAGAGATGAAGAAAAATGAGATCCAGGGACAATAAATGACTTTCCTAAGGTCAGAGGCAGGATTTGAAAGCTGGTCCTCTGACTCAAAGAGTCAGTACTTCTTCCAGTGTACTAAGTACAATTTGCAGATTAAAGAAGAAATTCTAGAAAAAACAAACCTTGTTAAGAAAATCCAAAATGCAGATATCAATACTACAAAGGTTTTGCATAGTAGGCATTCATTTAATAAAGTCTATTCAGTGTTGTGTTTTGAGATGGTTAAACAAATCCCATAGCATTTGCTTTATAAACCCATAATTACAGATTATTATGGCTTACAAAGCAGAAAGGCATAAAGAGCTTCTGCAATTCACTATAATGTAATAGAACATGTAGAGGAAGTTAATTTTGGTTGATGTTTTAAATAGTGGCTTTGCATAATATATAGGTGAAACTATAATTAGAAGAGAATAATCTCTGTAGCCTCTTTTTATTCTGTCTCTGAACATGATGACTTTTTGCTAATAACACCACTACTACTTGACAAAAAGGCAACTACAGCTACATTCTTCATTAAATTTAATAATTATAGCTACTCCTGCCAATAGCTCTCAAATCAAATTCATTCAATGCAATACTGAGCTTATTGGGGACAGCTCTATGTTTAGAATTCTTTGGCCAAAAAAGCACTTGAGGATGATGAAGCATGCCTTGGACAAGGGCATAATGATTAGCCATTGTCTCTATATTAAAAAAACAACCAAAAAACCTAAAAAACCACCCAGAACATAAGTCACTACAGACCACAAATAACCTGCTGTTAGTACAGGGCTATTAAAAAAAGGTTCTGAAAAAAAAAAAAGTAAAAAAAAAAAAAGGTTCTGCATTTATCTGATCTTTAATACCTTTAAGGTAACCTAAAGGCTTCGGTTTAACAGAAGCAAAGCATGGTACTAAGTATCAAAATTAAATGCCTCTATTTCAACAGTTTTCTCTTCTGTCTTTACTATAGCTGTCTGATATTGGCACAATATATTTTATATGAAATTCTAGAACTGTCTTGTTAAATAGGTGAATTCAATTTTTAAAAAATATTTCAATTCCAGAAATGATCTTCATATTCTTTTGAACAAAAATTAGATGTTCTACCTACTTAAACTATAGACAACCATTTTTCCCCCATACACTTACCATTTGTTTTTAAGTAACATCAGATTCAATGGTTAATTTTAATTTTGCAAAGCTAATCTAAGCAATTATTATAAAACTGCCTATAACAGTTATGGTCTGTGTTAATTCATTATGTACTGCTTTAATGGCATTATCTTCTTTTCTTAATGTACTAAAGTGTTATTTAAATCTTTATTATCTAGATATCTACATAGCCAGGTAGGTTTTGCTTCTCCAAAAAAATCACTGTAAGATCCTGGAAAGAATTATAACATATATCTTTGTACTTCTTATATTGCCTAGCATGGTTCCTTGAACATTCTACATATACCATACACACATTTTTGCTGATTTGAGTTAAGATTGAGTGGAGTTGAGTTCAATATGGCTTTAATAAAGCTTAGATTAACTACTTATATTATTTCAAACCATTCTTAAGTCCTTCGTAAGTAAGATATTTGCTACATACATTACTATTTATCAAGTAAGTTTATACAAAGGCTCAGCTTAAAAAAAAAAAAGGTATTATCTTGGGTATTTAAGATTATGAAGGTTATGGGCAAGTTGCTTAACCTTTTTGTGCCCCTCTAGGAAATCCTAAATAAGTTACAGAGGAATTGGCGATCTGTATTAGTTGAATTACTTTCTATATCATTCTATATTGGTAAAATCACAGATCAAGGCAAAAAACAAAACAAAAGACAACAAAAAACAAACCAACAAAAAACCTAAAGCCTAAGAATACACGTGATAACATCTACTTTAACTATTTATCTTTTGAAGTTATGTTTCAAAATAACAAATTCATGCCATAACATATTTGTATTTATCACTTAATCTAGCCAAAAAATTTCATGCTATTACATCATCCCTTAAAATTGTGCAGTGAGGAAACACTAAATAAGTCTGTTCTGAATACAATGCATCATTGTACCTTCTGTGACTGGCTGGAGTTTTGAAGATCGTTCCGAATCAGGGGAATGAAGAGGTTCAGGCTCTTTCAGACTTTCCAAATGCATGAAAGGATCATAATCAATCGAAGCCAAATCAGAGAGGCTTAGGGGAAAGTACTTAGGATTGCTGAAACATTGAGCTCCATAAACACACCCATGAAGAACCTAAAAGCACAAGAAATCAATAAGGCACGTTTTATTTTTCAACTTAAGTATTAAAAGAAGAAAAAAAGAAGCAAGTTTATAAGAAAATTAAACTTGGTAGCATTTAGGACAACAGAATTTGGTTATAAGGAACCTTGGATTTCATCGAGTTCTAGTCCAACCTCCTGGTTTTAGAAATAAGGAAACTGCTAAAGGCTAGTAGAGAAGTTAAATTTTTCCCAAAATCTCCAGGTAGTAAGTAATAGAGTTGAGTGGAACTCTAACCTATTTATGTATGCCACACCAACTTATTCCTTTGTCTCTCTCTTAAAAACTTTTTTAGTTCCTTAAGCCAACAAATTTATCAAGCAAGGCAAAAAGGACCACTTCAAGATAATAGGAGTGAAATTTAACTAATGCCTCTAGTATCAAATAAGGACCCAAATTCTCAAAATTTTAGCAAAAAACAGCATTTTAAAATTCTCATTCAATAAGTGCAAAACGCATCTTTGTGTATCTGGTTCTAAATGTAATATACTGTGGCTACCAAAGAAATATTCAAGTAGGAATACCTTATAAATACAATTGAGGACAGACTTTTCTGTTTTATCATTTTCAGCTCCTGTTGCATGAACTGGCTGGAGTAGTGTCTTTAAAGGCAAAGCCATGATCCAGTCCAATAAACACAGAAGTAATGATACCACCAACTGTAATAGAGGATTTTATCCATTATAAATTCCATAAATAACAAGACGGTGAAATTCAATAATCTTCCCCCAGTTATTCTTTAGTTCACAGTTTCATTAGTAAAGCTTCAGTCTTCAGCAAAAATAAGTCGAGCAACACAAAGAATATACAGAAAGAACTGAATTTTAGAAGTTCAGGTTTAGACCAGTAGAGATAGAATTCATCATACTGTGTAAAGACAACAAAATAAAGCACATTAAAATTTTAAAGTTGTCTACATTATTTAAAAATATCATTAAAATGGATAACTATTGATCAATCCACAAGCATTTATTAAGCACCTACTATGTACCAGGCAGGTACTATGCACTGGGGATACAATATACACAATACATATATGTATGTACATATGTACATGTATATGTACAGAATAAATATATCCAGACTAACTAAAAAATAAGTATAAAGTAGTTAAATACAAGGTGAGAATAGGTGCTACTAGATGAAGAATTAGAGAAAGCTTTGTGTAGAAAGGAGCGGTTGAACTGGTCATGAAAGAAGTCAGGGATTCTATAAGGTGGAAATTAGGAGGGAGTACATGAAAGCATGGAAATGGTCAGTGCACAGGCATGGAGATGGGACATGGAGTGCCATGTGTAAATAACAGAAGTACAGTTTGGCTGGATGCAGAAAGAGGAATAACATATAATGAGAATAGAAAGATAGGTTGAGAAAGAATGGAATGCTCTATTAAGCATACCAAGCCATTTATCTGAAATATTTTTCTCATATGCTCTAAACTGCTTGTATTTGCCATGTTGATTCACAAACATAAATGTCTTAGGAGGAAAAAAATAAATAAAAAACTATTTTCAGCATATTTTCAAATGCAGTTTATTTTCACAAAAGAAGCCCCATTTGTCCTTCTAAATACCGGTCCTCTCAAGTTTTAAACAACTGAACTTAAGAATATTTTTCCCCCTCACCAAATTTTGAACATGAAATGATAACCTCCATATGGCAAATTATATTAAGAAGATCACAGCTAGTATTATTATCTTAGAAACTAAGTAGAGAGAAGTTTTTTGGTCTTCAGAGTTACAATTCAAACTCATTATGTACTTGACATGTTGGTATTTCTAACTAGAAATGTCTAATCTGACACACCAAATCAATATACCCATTTCCCAAAAGACAATATTTTGAAGAATGTGCCCTAAAAAATAGTCCAATTTATTACAAATTTCTAAACAATGCTTTGTAATTTGAACACTCTATAAAACAGATATGAACAAAAACCCTGACATGAAAATCAATTTAATTATTAAAGAGAAACTAAACTATATTAATATTATAAAGTGATGTTAGTATATATATTGCACATTACAGATTTATAAGAGGATAAGCCCACATCCACAGATAAACAAAGTATTTGTAAAAATAAATACTTAAAACCTCAATTTATAATACAATAAAAATTAGCTGTGTTCAATTACCCTTTTGTCAATTTCATAAGACGAGGCTTCTGTACTGGGTAAAAGATGAGTAACAGTGGCTATCAGTATCTATAGGCAAAGAAAAAAATTATTTTTCTTTTAAAATCTAATTAACTAATAAAATCCTTCAAATCAATTATTAAATATAATTATTCTAAATTTGTTATTAATATGGGTCATGATTATATTGGCATTCAATCACTTCAAATAACATTTTTAAAAATGGCAATTTCCATGAGCACCTTCAAATTTCAAGCTTATAATCTATTTTTGCAATTCCACATAAATAAAACACACACAAGCAAAATTAAACTAAGCACAGATAGCATCTAAAATCACTAAAATTATCAAGGCATAAATTAATTTTTTTTATTCAGTCATTTTTCAGTAGCGTCTGACTCTTCATGACCCCATTTGGGGTTTTCTTGGCAAAGATACTGGAGTGGTTTGCCATTTCCTTCTCCAGTTCATTTTATAGATGAGGAACTTGAGGCAGACAGGGTAAAGTGACTTGTCCAGAGTTACACAGTGTCTGAGGCCAGATTTGAACTCAAGAAAGATGAGTCTTCCTGACTCCAAGCCCAGCACTCTATCCACTGTGCCACCTACAGCAATAAAGTAAAATTAATTTTACATCAATAAATTCCTCCCAATATTAAGTTGTAATGCCATAAAAAATAATGACTATTGGTGATTTTAAAAAACAAAAACAAAAAAAATGAAATGCTTTAAAACCATTGCTCCCTCAATAACAAACAGCTACCTATTTGAACTTTCTCATTTCTACTGAACATACATATTTGTGTATATGTGTGTATGTATATATATGTGTGTGTGTATATATATGTGTATGTGTGTATATATATATGTGTGTGTGTGTGTGTGTGTGTGTGTATATGTATATATATATATATGTATATGTGTGTGTGTGTGTGTGTGTGTGTATTCACCAGGTCTGGTTTCTTCTAGTGGGTTCAAGTTTTAGAGGTGAATTCAAAGAAGTTTTGTAAATTATTGCTTCAGTGCAACCAACATATGTAGCAGTGCAACCAACATGTACATTTATGAATTCACAAATTATACTTAATATCAACAATTTTTAAAAGGCCTATTTCCTGTTCTGTAATTAGGTAACCATTAGTGAACTGTTTCAGTATTTTGTGCTTCAGTTCTTCATCTAAATTTGTAGAGATGATAATTCTTGCTTCCTTGTCTGCACAGTCTGACTCTATTTAGTGAAATGGAAAAATTGATTCAAAGAAAAATTTACATTACAAGGCAGAATAATCTGCATATGGGCCACATTTTAAAATAGTTCCACCTCTCACGTATATAAATTTTATTCAAATCTCAAGTGGACATTATCACTATGTATTATAGAAGATATCTAATCCAAAATATTAATCACCTTTTTTTGGTGAAAATTCTAAGATATGAAATTGAGAAAAGTATGTAAATTGCCACCCAATTGGGAAAAGAACCTCTCTCTCTATGAAAATGTAAATAGTCAACTTATATAGCAGTGATGGAGTCAGAATACATGTTAAGAAACATAATTACAATTATTTGTGTAAAGTTTACATTTATAATTTCCATGCATGTACTTAATATTAAATAATTGTTAATAACAATTTAAATCTAAATAATTAGCCATGATTCCAGAGAACTGATGAAGTTGCCCACCTCATCAAAGAGAGATGATGGAAGAACACAGAATGAGAAATGCATTTTTGGACATGGCTAATGTGGGAATTTGCTTTACTTGAGTATGCTTATACAATACAAAAGTTTTTCATCTATCTATGTATCTATCTTCCTTTCTTTTCTTTCTTATGTGGGTGGAGGGAGGTGGGAAGGGATGACATGGTCACACCTGCACTTTAGGAAAATCAATTTAACATCTGAGAGTAGAATGGACAAGAGTGGGGAGAGACCTGAGGTAAGCAAACCAAACCAGAAGGCAGGCTATTGTTAATAGCTCGAATGTGAGGTGATAAGGACCTACACAAGGGTGGTAGCACTGTCAGAGGAGAAAAGGGAGCATATACAAGAGATGTTATATGGAGGGTGAGAGAGTGAAAAATTAAGGATGACACCCAGGTTGTGAGCCTGAGTGATTTGGGAGGATAGTAGTGCTGTCAAAGGTATCAGGGAAATTAGGAAGGGGGGGGGGCGGGTCTGGGAAAAAGATAATGAGTTCAGTTTTGGTCAATTTGAATTTAAAAGGTTTATGAGACACTGAAATCAAAATACCTAATAGGCAGTTGAAAATGTGAGACTGGAAGTTAGAAAGTCTGGACAAAGGCATCTCAGAATTACCTATAGAAAGATAATCGCGATTACCAAGTGAAGTAATATAGAGAGAAAAAAGTATGTATGTTTTTTATAGGGAGGATGGGGAACGGTTAATGGATGCAACCTGGATAAAGATCTTGCAAACAAGACAGTAAAAAAATTGTCAGAAAAACCAGGAGAGAGCATTTTCACACACACACACACACACATACACCCCCACCCACCCAAAACAAACAAACAAACAAAACTAAAGAGATAAAGACAGCATCAAGGAGAAGAGAATGATTAATAGTGTCCAAAGCTACAGAGAAGTCAAAAAGGATGAGGATTAAGAAAAAGACATTACACTTGGCAATTACAATTGGTGACTCTGGAGAGAGACTTTCAGTTGAATGATGAGGTTAGAAGCTAGACTGCAAAGAATTGAGAAGAAAGGAAGTGGAGGTTATCTATTATAAATGGCCTTCTCAAAAAGGTTAGCCACAAAAGAGAGGAAAGATGTAACAGCTAGCAGAGATGGATGGATGAAACGAGAATTTTTTGAGAATGGGAAAGACAGGGCATATTTGTAGGGAGCAGGGAAAGAGCCAGTAGATAAGTAGAGATTGAAGATAACTGAGAAAGGGCCAATGATACGGGGGGCAATCTGCTGTAGGATATAGGGTGGAGTTGCACACACTTGCGTTGGCAAGGAGAGGGACCACCTCATTATGTGAGGTAAGTACGAAGAAAGAGATAATGGCAGAAGTCAGAGGTGATGTGAGATATAGAGGGGAAAAGCTGGAGCTTTCTGCAAATGGCCTCAACTTTATTTTTTTTTTAGCAAAATATCCTACTGATATTTCTAATATCAAGAAAACCAGAAACTATATGGAAATTGTAGATAAATGGAAGATAGTTCCTTGGAAAGGCAAAAGAAATGATGGAGAAGTTGGTTTCTTTGTGCATCCCAAGGTGACAAGAAATATACATTCCAGGGACACAATCACCTTCTCTTCCATTTTTCATAACGAGTATAAGCAAAAAGACTACAAACATAAGATTTGTGCAACTTTCATGTTAACTTCTCTAATAGTAGATAAGGTGTTGTAAGTAACGTGGATTTTAGTGTGTGTAAGCAGGATTTTGTTATTCCTTTTTAGATAATAGTTCCAGGGTCCTAGATAACATTTCTCATGGTCATGGTTGGTAAACATCTCTACCATGCTTGCACAGTTAGATACAAGGTTGACATAATGTATGCCTGCACTATGCTAGGTCATTACAGTATTGCTAAAGTTAACCTGTGAGCTTAATGTTGGCAATATGCCTTCTTTGTCTGTTGCCCTATGAAGCAAGTGGGCAGTGGGCAGTAAATGGGGAGCCCATTTTGGGATTTAGGTAATGCATACAGGAATGCATGTACCTACCTTGATCAGCCCATTATCTAGGCTTGGGGGAATCTGTGTTTGCCTCAACCAGCCCCCATTGAGGCGTAGGGGATTTTGAAGGAGTTGTACTCCTACTCTCGCCTGCCCCTGCGAAAAGTGTGATTAGAAAATGCTACAGGAGTTGGTGCTCCTATTATCAGCAACCCTTTTGAGAAGACTAGACTAGAATAAAGTAAGCTTATTTAATTCTTTCAAAGCTGTCTTCCTGTCTGATTGGATCAAAAGTAAACCTGTGCTAGAACACCTGTTAGTGTTAGGAGTCCTCCTGTGTTCTCCTGCCCAACAAAAGGTGTTACTTGTGTGTTTATTACCTATGAAACAGGTGTCAAAGAAGTTCTGTGAAGAATTTAATAAAACCCTTCAAATCAAATCAACATACAGCTTAATACTTAGTGGCTTCAATGTAAAGCTGAGCATACGGGAGGACAATGAAAAATATGTTGAAAAATGTATCAGGATTAAGAAAAAAAAGAAGCCAAACACAAGAAGCCTCATGCCTACAGATAATGAATACATTTTTAAAGGGGTGCTGGAAATGGCCAGATAAGATAGCACTGAAAAATATCACAAAAAATTATTTGATTCTTCTGACAGGAAACAAATAGTTACCTATGTGAGAGTAATTTCTTAATCAGCTCTGTGTATAGTCAGACCACTGATTTCTTAAAGTAAAGCACAAAATCAATACAAAATGAGAATTAAATTGAGATGTGGTATGCAACTAAGGCAACTCTAACCTAATCCATTAAAATAAGCCTTTAATGCTAAAAAAATGAGAAATGAGGTAAAGACTGTAAGTATTCCTAAGGAAGTTTAACTGACATAAATTGAAAACCAAATGAGGATACCAAAAAGAACTCCTCAGCAAGCAAACACTTGATCTTGAAAAGCAGAAAGATATGGAACCCAAGGGTAACACCAGTTTAGAACATAAGCTTGTTTGTAAAATTTTATTAAAGTTAGTGGAAGATTACGAACCTCACCTCATGAAACAGCAAAATACAATGGAGAGAAAACAAGTTTCATCATATAAGCAAGATCATTCTAAGAACACTAAAGATAGAATTGGATGGAAGACAACAGACAAAAACATGAAAAAGATGTGTCAAAATTTCCATAGCAATAAGAGTGGAGCTGCCACATTTGAACATTGACATCATAATTCCAGAAAATTCCACAAGGAAGGAGAAATGGCACTAAGGAAAACAAAGATGAAAAGAGTCCCTGGACTAGACAAAAGTTTACAAAGAGATGAGATCTGTGTTGTAGATGACAATTTTGATGTGTCATTTCTCAAGATACCTGAAACAGCAGAATATACTAAACTTTTTTTGGGGGGGAAAAAACATGCATTATAAACCAATTAGGGCAACTTGCCAATTTTCTTGGACCAAAGCAAAATGAAACTCTTCTAATATATACATAGTTAAGCAAAGCAAATTTTCACTGTGGCCACGTCCAAGTTACTGATTCAATTAGTTTTTTAGGTAACTCTCCAGGGTTCTCTAAGTAAAACATACCATCTGCAAAAAGTGATAATTTTGTTTCATCTTGACCTGTGTTTATTCTGTCAATTTTTTTCTTGTCTTCCTACTGAAGCTAGCATTTCTAGCATTATTAAAGAGTAATGGTAATAATAGATAGCCTTGCTTTCAGTAAGTGACCTTAATGAAAAACTCTAGTTTATGCATTTCACAGATAACGCAAGCTCTTGGTTTTATTAAATACCAAGTTAAGGAAAGATTCATTTATTTCTGATTTTTTTTTTTTAAGCAGAAATGGTGTTGAATTTTGTCAGAAGCCTTTTCTGAATCTACTGATAGAATCATATAAATTTATTTTTCTCATTAATATGTGAATAAGATTTATATTTTTACTAATATTGAGCCAACCCTAGATTCCTGGAAAAATCCAACTAGTAATGTATAGTCTTTGAGGTATGTTGCTATAGACTTTGCTATTACGTTATTTAAATTTTTAATTTTTTGCATCATTATTCACTGGGGATCATATTTCTTTAGACTAGGTTTTAAAAAAAATTAGACTCTTTATTTTGACACTTACTGGTTTAGGTATCAAGACCATATTTGCATAATACAAGAAACTTGGCAGGATCCTTTCTTTTCCCATTTCTGCAAACATTCTGTGTAATAATGTAAATAATTATTCTCTGAATTTTGATAAGACTCACTAATAAATCCATCTGATCCCAAGTGTCTGTCTCCCTTTTCTCCCCGAACACAAGTTCATTTATGGCTTGTTCAATTTCTTTTTCTGAAATTGGGTTGTTTAAATTTTGTTTCTCAGTCTGTTAATTTGAGCACTTTGTGTTTTTGGAAATATTCACCTATTTCATTTAAAGTGTTTGTTTTATTGCCATATAGCTGGACAAAGCAGTTTCTAATAACATCTTCTTCATTTGTTATGAATTCTTTATCACTTTTGGGAAAGAGATTTTTCCTCTTTTTAAAAAATCAAAATAGCTAATGGTTTATTTTATTGCATTAAGAACAATTCTTAGTTGTATTAACTGTTCAAAGGACTTTTTTAACTTTCAGTTTTATCGATCTCTTTTTTGCTTTTCAAGATTTCTATTTTGGAGTTTTATTTTTAATTTGTTGTTTTTCTAGGTTTTTTTTTTTAAAGTTGCATGCCTAATTTGTTGATTGGTTACTTTTTTTTGTGCATGAAAGTGTTTGGAAGTATAAAATTTCCTTCATCCCAACATTTTTAGTATAAGTTTCCTCATTGATTATCTTTAGTGAAATTACCTATCATTTCTAGGATATGCTCTTTGACACACTAATTCTTTAGGATTAGATTATTTAGTCATCAATTCATTTTTCATACTTTCTACAATGATCTTTTAAATTTTTATTTTTATTGTATTTTGTTCAATAAAGATTGTGTTTAATATTTCTACTTTTTTGCATTTTTGTAAAGTTTTAACGTTCTAATACACAGTCAATTATGTAAAAGTGCTATGTACCAGCAATGTATCAAATTTTTCTAAAATTCTATTCATATCCTAAAAGATTTTGTTCTAGCACCTTAACACTGTGTGAATCTTTACATTTCACATATATTTTTCATAAACAATATATTACTAGATTTTTTCTAAATCATTCTGCTATCCTCTTCCACTTTATGGGTGAATTAATCACCTTCATAGCTATGACTGTTAATTATTTATTTCTCTCCATTCTCTTGTATCTTTTTCTTTCTATGTTCCCTGTTCTCTACTTACAAAGAAGAGGGTCATATGAGAGGAGTGTGCTCAGCACCAATGCTCTATACTAGAAAACCTTTGCCTATCAACTCCTTTCTCCTATTCTTCTCTTCCTCTCACTCAGATTCCAATCACTTACCCTTTCTTTCATTCCTTTTACATCCTCCTTCACCAATAACCTTGTTGTGTTAATTGTTGTATTGTGTAATTCTGACTGATTCTTCAGTATCTGAACTTGTTCCAAGCTGCTTGTAGTATTTTTTTTCTTTAACCTGGAAACTGGATTTTGGTTTTATGATGTTCCTGACCATTTTCACTGAAGGGATTCTTTCAGGAGGTAATTAATAGATCCTATTTTCCTTTTAACTTCTTGTTCTAACATGTCTAGGGCAGTTTTCTTTCATGGTGTCTTGAAATATGATAGCCAGGGTCTTCATTTGGTCATGGATTTCAGGTAGTTCAATGATTCTTAAATTAACTCTCCTCTATCAGTTCTATAGGTATGTTGTTTTGGATGTGAAATCTTACATTTTCTATTTTTTTTTCCAATCTTTTGACTTTGTTTTAGTATTTCTTGTGGTCCTATGGCATTATTAACTTCTGTTCATTCCAATTTTCAAGGAATTTGTTACTTTCAGTAAGACTGACATCACGCAATCGATAAGCATTTATTAAACACCTACTAAGTGCTAAATGCTAGGGATACAAATACCAGAAAGAGAGCCCCTGCCCTCAAAGAGATTACAATCTATTTGGGAAAGATAACACACAAAAGGCTGGGGGCATGATAGAACTCAGATAAGTCCCAAAATATGCAGCTGGGTGAGAAATGAGATGAAATTCTAACCTCCCTACTTAAATGAAGGTTTTGGAGTCCATGGCTCCATCCTCCAAACAGAGGGACATAGGGTGGTGGGTAATTATGAAGTAGAATCTTGCAGGATTATGAGGTTTTCCCAATAATCAGCTTCCTAGGACATGGTGGAAAAGTCCCAAAATAGTGCAGCCAGGAAAGAAATGACAGAAATAAGTTTTACTTGCATTAAACTGTTAATGCTCACTCCAAGTCTTTCCCCTAAAACTCTCATTTCCATTCCAATTCTTTCTTCTACTACTTTCATTTAATTTATAATATATATTTTATAAGTCCTGATTCATTTCTTGAAGGAATTCTATTGGATCTTATGGCCAAGCTGTGTTTTTCTGAGATTTTACTCACGGTTCTTTTAAAATTATTCTTTCCTTCTGAGTCTGTGTCTTGTGCATCATAATAGCTTTTTAACTTTTTTTTTTCTTTACTCATTTATCCATCTTTAATTCTCATTATTGGGATTTTGTGGTAGGGCCAAACTTTGTGTACTTCCAGTGGAGCTGTTGTGGCCCTGTACCATCCTGGCTTGTCACATTAGGGCTCCTGACACCATATTCACAGTGTACTGAAAGATCAAGGATCACAAGGCGGTTTGGGTTAAGGAGCTACAAACTTTCAGTAGTCTGATGCCAGCCTTTCTAAGCTTTCGAAGTTCCAGATTCTAGTGTAGGCCTAGACAACACAACTCTAACTTGCCTCTGGGTGGGCCTCCAACAGATAGTTGCTAGGCCTAACTCCTGTTGGCCACCTGGAAGTTCCAGCAGGTTCAGAGCAAGAGAATTACCTGCCTACCCCTCTTCTAAAACTGCTAAGATTTAAATCCATCTGCTACAATAGTACTTCAGCTCTGGTTCAAAAGGCTGTGTGCAAGATCCCTACCCACCTGTGTTTAACAGTGCCTGGCCCGGTCACTAGCATGTAAGCCGAATTTGTGATCCTGGGCTATTATAAAGACCCACAGAGATTTCTCTTTTGATTTACCAAAAAAATCACTACTTGGTCTCAGATGTTTCTTAGATCTATATTGCAATAGTTTTAGGGGGGTACTGAGCTTTACTACTTCCTCCTTCCTACTTCCTTTACCAACATTCTGGTTGTTCTCTACTTAAAATATTAAGTCTGGAAGATCATCTATTAAGTTGCAGAGAGGTTATATAATCCACCCATCAGTGGAAGGAGTGCTCACAGTGATATTTCACAATCAATCCTTTGATTTCAGAAATAAAAATTATCCCACTAAAGGTTCTTTTTTAATATATTAAAAATCTTTATTCAACTTGTTCTTATATAAATTGCTTAGTGAAAAACTACAAAAAGGAATTTTTCAATTATCATTATCATCAAAAGCAGCCATTAGATATGCAAATACACTAAGGATCTATGATTTCAGTAGTGTGGGAAATCCAAGAATTAACACAGATTACAATCCATTTAAAACTTAGTAGAGGAATCTTGGGAAATTTCTAGCAGCTAAGAGATATTACATGAATTTTCCACAGACAAGAGCTAGTATGTATCAAAAGTGGGATTTAAACATAAGACCTCTGATTCCAAATGACTCGATGACTGTCATTTTTATAGATAAGATTAAATTATATTCTCAAGATTTTCAATTCAATTCTACTGAAATTTTCAATATTCAACTGAAGAAAAACAAACCAAGACATTTCCTTATCCCAAGATTTTCTAAACCATGATTAAAAAGTAAATGAAAAATTACTTACTTGAATAATTTTCAAGGGTGAATCAGGCTGATAAATCTGAAGCCTATGTACATATTGAATCAGCATATGAAGCATGTTGCAAGCCACATGGGCTACAGTTTTATTAGGAAACTGAAAAAAAAAAAAAGAATAATTTAAGGAGTTTTCCCTCTCTATTCATATGTGGATGTTGTTTTAAATGTTTCTGGACTGCCATCTACTGATGACAAGTTGTACATGCTCAGGAATTGTAAAATAATTTTAATATTAACAAGAATGATGCTGCAAAAAACATCCATAATGTTTTACCAAGCCAAATATAAACAACTGCTGATTATATACTCTTTTATATTATCTTTACAGCCTATTATCTACGATAATGGAAAAAAAGAATTAGCTGTTCTCATTCAATTATTTTTTAAAATTATGAATTAAATCCTTAGTAATGGGGAGAATATTGCTGTGCCATAAGAAACAATGAGTATGATGAATATAATGAAACATGGGGAAGACTACAATGAATTGATGCAAGGTAAGGTAAATAAAATCAGGAAAACAATATAGAACAACGAATGCCAAAAACAAAATGATCAAAACTGAATGCTGTGAAATAATGACCAAGCTTTTGACTCCCCCCAAAAAAGACAGATGAGAAGATATCTCCCTCTTCCTAGACACTTCTTTGCAGAGAAGGAGGACACTATGGATGTGGAACACTGCATATAGTGTCAGAGTTTTTTGAGATACTGGTCATTATTGCTGAACTTTTTTTCTTCTTTATAAAGGAAAGTCCTCTGGGAGTGATTGTAGGAAGGAAGCAGTGAGAAAGTTAGGTCATGTCAAAATCGAAGTATCAATAATTTTTTTAATAGTCATTGCTATTTTCATTGGCATTAACTCCAGTAGTACGTTCCTACTTGTGATCAAAACTTGCTCTGGCTACCATATGAATTCAGCTTCACAGACTATAAAAATTACACTTAAGATCTTTTAATAGGAAGTCATTCATGTCAATATGGAACTGAGATTAGCAAGAACAGCATGTAGGAAGGCAAATACATGACCAAGAAAGTGTGAAAGAAATATAAAAAAAACAACTGATCAAGCTTTACCTATATTTCAAATAGCTAGTTTCTGCTGTATCACTGTTCACAAATACCGTGGGCCATAGCAAAAGGTTAGAAAAGGGAAGACAAAACTGGCCTTCAGAAAGATACACCTTGATTATAAGAGTTGGGGGTACTGTTAAGGGAGGAGCTAGTATTGAAGATGTAATTTAATGAGAAAATGATAATGATCATTTTGAAAAATGTAATTCTTCTAATTCCCAAAATGCTATATATGAAAAATGTCTGTAGGCCACACTTTCTCCGTACCCCAAACAATAACAACAACAAAAAACCTGTATTTGCTACAGTTGTATGATGGAATGTCTTTGAAAAGCATCTCACCTTTAAGGAAACACAAATTACATTCAGAGCTTCCTTAATTTGAGGATGATGAGATTCATGAACTAATTCTTCACAGATCCAAATTCCTAAACTACAGAGAGCAACACATCTGAAAAAACAGGCAACCGGTATTAGTATAAAACTAGGTATGATTTTAAGTAAAACAAAACTACAAAAGAACTTAGAGCACATATAGTAGAATAAATGATTTATGATTTCTACATCACCAGAAATTAGGTGAACAAATATTATAAGTAATACATTTTTTGTCATTAATTGTATGAAATTGATGCATGTAAAAAATTAAACACATTGATAAATTGTAAACATAAAACCTCCCAAAATAATAGTAACCTGATAGAAGTTATTTTGTTCTCTAGGCAGGCAGACCTATATAGGATAATGGATTAATAAAAATAAACATTTTCTTTAATGGCCTAACTTCAAGAAAGGAGCATTTTAGAGTGTAAGTTCTGTTCTCTAATGCTACACAAGAAATTAGCACACTAAATGCATGCTTTCTTTATACCTTAGCCAAACTGAAGTCTATGAATTGAACTGCCAATATTGTATTGTCTTTGGAACTGCAATGAAGCTTATACTGGTACTCTACATAACTGTTCTACATTTTCCCCATGCAGTTGTTCTGGTATATGATTTGTTGTTTAGTTGTTTTCAGTTGTGTCTGACTCTTTTATGACCCCAATTGGGGTTTTCTTGGCAAAGATACTGAAGTGGTTTACCATTTCTTTCTCCAGCTCATTTTACAGATGAGGAACTAAGGCATGCACGGTTAAGTGACTTCCCCAGGGTCCCACAACTAGTAAGTGTCTGAGACCCAGTTTGAACTCATGAATGAGTCTTCCTACTCGTTAGTTCAGTGCCTTATCTACCATGCCACCTAGCTGCCCTTGACATATCATATCTTCTCCTAAAGCAAATATAAATAGCTATCATTTAATATTTAGGAATTATATAGATTTTTGAATTCATAAAAAATCAATGCATAAAACTCATCATATGGAAAGATAATTTTGAAAATTCTTTCTGCCCACTATTTTTACTACTTTTACCATGACAGTGTTAACATGAAGAGAATATTAGGCGAGATTTGGAACTAAGAGATGAATTTAAATCTCAATTTTGCCATTTTCAAACTGTATAACCTTGGGTAAGTTATGCAACCTCTCTGGGGCTCAGTTTCCTCATTTGCAAAATGATATTTGTACCACTTTCAATATAGGGTTATTAGGAAGATAAGTAAGATCAGGTATATAAAGAGCTTTGTAACCATAATGTGCTTGCTATCTCTATACATACACACACACACACACACACACGATCATATAATTTAGAGGCAGAAAGGACTTTAGAGGACATAATGGCCAATACTTTCTAGGAAACTGAGGCTCAGACAGGGTAGAATTTGAACCCAGATGCTCTGACTCCAGTGTTATTGTTTTCTCATTAATCCATCAACAAAAGTATCAGAATTCCAACAAGAGTTACCATTATCTCCTTCATTCTTATCAATGTTCCCCTACTGTCAGGCGAATGAATGAGAAAAAAGAGAACACATGGACTCCAGTTTTCAAAGTCAGATATCTAGCAACAGGAAAAAGCAACCAAGAAATACTAAGGAAATCCAAAACACAACAAACTATAGACAGAGACTAAGAGTGCCAAAAGAAAGGTACTATTTTCTCATCTATAAAATGAGTGTGTTCACTCTTTCAATTACAATAAGAAATAATGTTATTCTTAGGTTTTACCTCCAGATAATTACAATTTAGAGTTGTTTGGCTTATAACTATGGCTTTTGCCAAAGCTGTCCACCTGCCAAGGATACTGGGGGTTCATCCTCCCCTGCCCCCCCCAAAAAAACAACCCTCAAACTTTGAAGCTGAAATCTCTAGGAAAGAAGATTAGTATCAATTGGAAAGGAAATGTGGTTTTTAGAAACACATATTGAATTTTAAAAATAATTTTAATTACTAAATTAATAAATATTTTATTCATTAATAATTATAATATAAAGTACATATTATAATAACATAACAAAACCAATAATTTTACTTATTAAATAAGAAAATATTAAATTAGTAACTAATGATAAATTTAATGATGTTTTGATAATAAATAATTTAATAAATTTTATAATTTTAATATTTTTTGTAGCTAATTTTGCTGGTATTCATCTATTAACTGAGAAATACCTGCAGTCAAGTTGAAAGCTAGAAATATCAATCAGTCAAAGAGCTGAAATGACTTATTTTTAAATCCAATAAGACGACAAGTACACTTGGGCTAGGCATTGGATCCAATTGCCATAGTTTAAACACACATGCACACGCACACACGCACACACACTCTTAATCCAGCCATTCGTTCATTTAACTTGCTTGTTTGTCAACCCAGGAGCTGGCAGTTAGTTAAAAAGACCTGGACTTGACAGAGGTATAAAACAGAAAGAACATTACAAATTATATCAAATCAACCAATCAACTAACATCTATGAAATAATTACTATGTGCCAATCACCGTGCTAACACTTGGGATACAAATACAAACACATACACACACACACACACACACACACACACACACAGAGATGTATGTGTATGGATAGGGAATGGACTTGAGATTTCACTGGCACAAGAAAATCCCTAGATGAGGAAACTGCCTCTTATCAATGCAGGTCAGCTCCTTCTCTGAAACTTTTAATCTTACAAAGTTTCCCTGAGCAATAAGATGTTAAGTGACTTCTCTGGATTCATATAGGCAATAATATATGTCAGAGGAAAGATCTGGACATAAGTCTTCCTGGTTCCAAGGTAATATTTCTATTTATTATGCCATGCTCCCTCGGACACACACACTCTACACATACATATACACATGTATGTATTACATATAATGTCTATGCTGTGTATGTATAAACATATACAGACATACAACACATATCTGGATAACATACACACACACACACGTATTATGCACATAGTATAAATGAATATGTACCTACATATAAAGAAAATAAACACAGGGTAGTTGAACACAAGGGAGGGGACAGAGGACACTAAAAACAATTAAAATTATTTATTAAGCACCTAGTCAGTGCCAGGCACTGTGTTAGGAGGTAAAGATACAAATACTGAGAATGAAAAAAAACTTTATTAGCCAGGAATTTACATTCTAATTGTGGAAACAAGTATATATAAAAATATATTCAGGACAAATATAAGGTAAATAAATAAAAATATATACAAAACAATTAAATATTATTTAGTAGTTTAGGAGGGAAGTTGGAGTGATGAGGAAAGGTTTCATGCACAAGAGGACGCTTGAGCTTCATCTTAAGGAATAACAAGAGAGTGCACTCTAATCATGGAAGACAGCCAGGGCAAAAGCAAGGAGATGGAAGATAAAATGTTCTATGTAAGCAATAGAAGGCACTGGCTGGGTTGCAGGGTGTGGGAGGAAGAGTAATGTTCAATAAAGTTGGAAAATATTGAGGTCAGGCTTTAAAAGCTAAAGAGAGAGTTTATATTTTATCTTGGAGGCAATAGGAACCTACTACTGTTTCTTGAGTAGAGAATTTATATGGTAAGATCTGTGCTTAAAGAAAATTACCTTGGAAGCAGTATGTAGGCTAGACTGAATGGGGAAAAGCCTTAAGTCAGGAAGACCAATTAGAAGGCTATTAAAATAATCTAGAGGTGATAAGGACTCTGAACTAAGGTAGTAGCTGTGTGAGTAGAGAAAAGGGATCAGCTATAAGAAATCTTGTGAAGGTAAAAACTTGTCAAGATTTGGTAAATGACTGGATAAGTGGAACAAGAGTGAGTGAGGAGTCTAGGATAATGATGAGAATATGAAAGTGGGAGACTTGGAAGGATGGTGAGGCCTGGGAGAATGAGAAAGGTTTAATGTAAACAGTAGTTCCTGAGCTTTTCCTTGAAGAACAAGAGAAATTTTGTGAGATAGAAGTAAGGACAGTGTGCTTTACAGGCATTACTGAATGACTAGTCAAAAAGGTATAGAGACAGGATATAGAGTGCCATGTATAAAGAACAGAGAAAAGGAAAATACAGCTAGATTGCAAAAGAGTAGGAGGGGAGTAATAGAAAAATGAGGTGGGAAAGATAGATTGGGTCCTGATTATGAAAGGCTTTAAAAGCTAAAAGAAGAGTTTATAAGAAACTGGTCATATACGAATACATAGGAACAAGATCATATCTGTGATTAAGTAAAGCCACTTTGGCAGCTTGATGAAGGACAGATTTTTCACCACTTTAGTGGTGAGAGACTTAAGTAAGGGAGACCAATTATAAGGCCACTATAATAACTGTGGTGAGATCTGATAAATGCCAGAACTAAGATGGTGAACAATGGTAGTGGTATAAATACAGAGAAGGGGTCAGACGCAAAAGATATTGTGAAGGTAAAAATAAGATGTGGGATAAGGATTTGAGAATAACACTGAAATCATAAATGTGTGAGGTAAGAAGAATGATGCTGCCTTCAACAGAAATAGAGAAGTTCAGAAGTGGGGTAAGTTTAGGGGAAAAGATGGGTCTTACTTTATACATGTTGAGTTGGAAATGTCCAATAAGCATTTGGGCAACATGGGAATGAATTTCAAGGGAAACACAGGCTAGATACAGAGATCTAGAAATGACTGACACAGAGATGATCATTAAAACCATGGGAGTAAATGAGGTCACTAACAGAAAAGTATAGGATGCCTAGGAAAGAAGCTTGGAAAAACATCCACAGTTAGGGGGCATGACCTGGATGATGAACCAGTAAAGGAGACTGAGGAGCTGTTAGACAAGTAAAAAGAGAACCATCAAAGAGTGGTATCATGAAAATTCAGTAAGGAGAGCATCCAGGAGGAGAGAGGATGGTCAATTGTGTAAAATGCAACAGATAGATCAAGAAAGCTGAAGATTGAAAAAAAGGTTATCAAATTTGACAATTAAGAGTTCTCACAGGCAATTCTGGAGGGAGTAGTTTTAGGTCAATAATGACGCTGGAAGCCAGATTGCAAAGGATTGAGAAATGAGAATAGAGAAAAGAGAAGTAGAAATATAAACAGCTTTTTTAAGAAGTTTGGCTGAGAAAAGGAAGAGAGATATGAGATGGTAACTTACCTGGAATTATAGGGTCTAGTGAAGGATTTTTAAGGATGGGGGCTACGTGGGCAAATTTGAAGGCAATATGGAAGGAACCAGTCATTAGGAGAGGTTAAAGTTTAGAGAAAAGAAAGTAAACATGAGAAACAGGGATGACTGATTTTTCAATCTGCTGCAGAAGATAGGACAGGATGGGATCAAGGATTGTCCTTGGCAAGAAGAGTCACCTCATTGTCAAAGACTAGGGGAAAAAAGAGAGAGTCAGGAATGATGTCAGAGGGTTCTGAGAAGAAAAAAGAGAGAGAGAGAGAGAGGCAAAATAGCCTCAGAAGCAAAAAGAAGCAAATAGCCTCAATTTATATTACTAAAGTAAGAACTTGAGGTCATTGTCAGCTGAGAGAATGGAGGGGAGGAGAGGTATGGAAACTCTGAGAGCAAGTTAAGGAATCAATTGGGCAGGAATAAATCAAATGGAAGGGAGGGAAGAAGAGGTGGCAGGAGAAAAGGAAGGAGGAAGAGAGCAAGAAGGGAAGAAGAAAGGAAGGAAGGAAAGATGGATGGATTTAATAAGTATGTACTATAAGCCAGGCACTATGCATTGTGCTAAGTGCTTCACAAATATTACTTCATTCAATCCCCACGATAACCCTGGAAAATAGATGCTATTATCATGCCCATTTTACAGTTGACAAAAATGAAGCAAATAGAGGCTAAGTGACTTGCTCAGAGTCACACAGCTAGTAAGTACCTGAAGCTGGATTGTCAGTCAGCATAGATGCTTGACTTTCTCCAACTCCATTCAACAGCATGTGAGTAAGAACAAAATAGGTGGATGGTGGGAGCAATCCAAGCCTGGAGCCTGACAAGCATTGAAGATACTATGGAATTTAATTTGTTTAATTTGCTGGTTTAATTTGCAGATGTGTGAATCTTGTTAAGTGAAGTCTGAGCAGGAGTGCCTCAGAGAGTACAAATGGGCTAATAAAATTTATTAATTGTTAAATGAGATCTTTAATAGTCTAAAATTGAGAAACGTGAAAAATGGAGATAAAGGAAGGTCTACAGTACACAGATACCAACTTGCTGATTTAAATTTCAACTGATTTTTTGTACATTATACCAATAATCCAAGAAAACAACATAAACTAGCTTTTATATAAACATACCTTTTTTTCCTTTTCCTACATTTTATTTTTTTAAAATTCTTGTTTATCTTTTTCAATTCCAAAAGCAGCATCCTGTCTACTTCAGTCAGTATAGCATGACAGTCTCAATTTTAGGGCATCGGATTAATCCCCACATTGAGCAATATGTTTTGAGAAGCAGGGTGGTAAAGCGGATAGATTTCTTGTTTGAAATGTGATCAGGAAGAACTGAATTCAAATCTCACTTTGGGCACTTTATAGTTTTATGTCTCTGGGCAATTCACTTAATATAGACCAAGGGACATTAAGAAGCAGAAAATTTGGAGGTGTTACTTATGAAGGTAAATTAATTTCAGTATTATGTCTATATGAAAACAGAATTCATATTACATACAGATTTATATAGGTTCATTCTATATGAAAATCTTCAACCCAATCAAGAAAATAAGACAAAGTTGGTATTTTAAAAAACTCACGAAAAATTAGAATTTATAATGCTCCAAGAATCCATAACCTAATAAATTACCAAATTAATCTCAACTCAATCAGGTTTCACATATAGATAAAAATTAGTAGTGAATTAAGCATTCATAGTAAGTTAAATTAAAGTTAAATGCAGGAGAGCTGTTACGGAATATTTCAAGCTATTATGAGTCAACTCTTAAAATGGACTCTTCAAAGTAAGTTAATAATTCTTAATTAGTAACTATCTGACTGACCTTGCAGGACCAGAGGGTTCATCTCTTGCTGAACTTAACACAGTTTTGATTATGAGCTCCTAAAACAAAGGAAAAAACGGTAAGTGCTTGCCAGAAAATGGACATATTTTATTACTAATAAGCATTCACATATATCACGGTCACACATATATACACTGAAAGATTGTGTAACACAAGATAGAGGGATAGAAATATTCACATATGAGTATGTATATTAATGTAAATGCACTTTTTAAAGAAAAGCAGCATGAATATAGCATATTGGAGATAGTCTGTCTTGGAACCAAGAAAGCTTTGGTTTCAAGTCTCACCTCTGTAACATTTGATATATGACTCCAAGTTAACCAACCTCTATATGTTTTAGGCAACTCTCAGATTTACATTGCTAGAGGGAGTGTCTTCATGCAGTGGAGTTCGTTACACCAATGAAATCAAAGGTCTTGTGTCTTGTCCTTATATATATCCTCCTCTAAAAAATGTTCTAATTAGTATCTATTGAACTACGTATTATAAATATATGTTCAACATTTATAATGTATTCATGCATTTACAGGGTGAGGTAGTGTGGCACAGTAGACAGTGAGCCAGAGTCAGAAAGAACTGGTTTCAAAACTCACTTCTAACCATTAACTGGTTTTTACATTCTAGTAAAAATCACTTAACTTTTTAGTGTGCCTGGCCACTTTCTAAGATTATAAGTAGTTTGATAGTTGATGATCCTGCATTAGCAGAGGAAGTTTCTTCAATGGAAGTTCCCTATACCAAAGAAATTACAGATCTAGGCAGGGATGTGCTGGTAAATGCTAACAATCAGATCTCCAGGGAAAACACATATACATGACACACTTTCAAGTTTCATCTGCATTACTAACATTTTTCTATCACTTAATTAAGTTTATGAGATCAACAAAATAATAAAACAAGTTATGATTTGTAATGTATGCTGATTAACAATATATAAGTGCTCACAATGAAAATGTAACAACCATCTCTTGCAAGTTGGTTTGGGGTGGCCTCGGAGGTGGCTCCAGTGCACCAGTAGGTCTAAGACACACACACACACACACACACACTATATGCACACACATGTAAATATACATACACACAAATATACACCACTCTGTCCTTCAGTCTTAAATTTCTTGCTCTCTGGTCGTTACAATGTTAATTCTCTGAAAAACTTTAATATGGGGTCACCTAATTATTTACTCACTCCGTTCCTACGCCCAATTGCTGGTATGTGTCAATAGCATGTAGTCTCTTTTGTAAATTGTCACTTTGCATCCTTTGACCACTGGGACAACTGGGATTTGCTTTTTCATGTAGTTCCTCCTATATTTTATTTTAAATGTTTTACTATTTTTTTTTTGCTTCTAACATCTAATATTTCCCAATACTGTCCTTTAAACTGTAACAGAACTCTCTGTTGCATTAAAACAGCATTATCTTACCTCTATAATTTAGACAAACACTTTACCGTTTTCTGCCATCTTTTTATGCACTTTTTAATGTTCAAGTAAACTATACACCTGGACTGTCATATGATTTTAAGATATGGGTCTAAATATTTTTGTTGCTATAAAATAACCAGTGATCTAATTACATTAAAATAATGTAATCCATTCCCAGGTTCTTATTTTTGATAACTAACACTGATATTCTGTAAATATTTTTTTGGACAACTAATATTTCTGTTCAGTTTCACTGATCTATTTCTCAATTTTTTTGCCTAGTACCAGAAAATTCTGATCATAACAAAATATTTTGTCACAAGTGCAAGTCCACCTTTAATAACATTCCTTCCTAAGACCAATGTCCATTAATAAAGCCAGTTACTTTACCCATATAATTGGCATATAAGTGCCAAATTAGTTTACCATATAATTTTTTAAAATTCTCAGTTCAATGAAAAGACTCCCTTGAAATTCTATTTGGGATTTCACTAATTATACAATTAAACGCTGGGAATTCTACAATTTTTACAGTATAGATCCCACATATTCCATGTCTCACTGCCATGTGACTTTTTAATTCCAGGGAATTAAAAATAAATATCACAGAGAGCAATATAGATGTGTGGCAGATGTGAGTAGACTGCAACACATAACCAAATGTAGAGTCCAAAGAAGAGAAATAAAAGATTTAATCAAGTAACTTGGATAGAAAGCAATAACTGGATAGTTAAGTGGCAAGGATGCGGGATGTTAGGTAGACAGCCAGAATGCTTTACTAGTACCCTCATGATGTTAGCAGAAATCAAGGAAGGGCTCCTTCAAATTGGGAGATTCTGCTGAGGTGAAGTTACGGGAGGATAAGTAAGAGAGTCACAAGCACAGATGGGTTGTGATCTGCATTGCTGAAAGGAAATTTGTTATTGTTCAGTTATGCCTGACTCTTTGTGACCCCATGGATCACAGCATGCCAGGCCCTGTAAATATATCCAGTATCTCTTGAAGTCTGTCCGATTTCATGTTCATTGCTGACACTACCTATCTCATCCTCTGCCATCCCCTTTTCCTTTTGCCTTCAATGTTTCCCAACATCAGAATATTTTCCAATGAATTCTGTCTTCTCATTATGTACCAAAGCATTGAGCTTAAGCTCAGTTTGACCTTCCAGTGAATAGTCAGAATTAATTTCCTTAAATATTGACTGAATTGATCTCCTTGCTGTCCAACGGACTCTCAAAACTCTTTTCCCGCACCACAATTTGAAAGCACTCACTCTGTGGTGCTCAGCTTTCCTTTAAGACCAACTCTCACAGTCATACAGAGCTACTGGAAAAACCATAGTGTTGACTATACAGACCTTTGTCAGTAAAGTGATGTTTCTGTTTTTTTAGTATGAATCGATAAAATTCTAAATCTCTTTGAGTATATCAATACGGAGCTCTAACACATCTGTGACTGATAAATTTAGAATTTTAAAAGACATCAGTTATAGTTTTATAGCTGTCCCAATTAAAGGTCTAGTTAAATCTAAGAGAGGTTATTTTAAGTATGTGCAACTTTTTGTTATTGTACATAGGTTTTTTTTTTAGCGAGTCACTATTTTCCTGATATTTACAGCTGATATATAAAAGAACGTGAATGATTTCTATGGGCTAATCTTCTCTCCTGTAACAATGCTGAACTCAAGAGAACACAGGAGCATAGATTAAGATCTAGAAAGGACCTCAGAGGCCATCAAATACAACTCCTTTTTACAGATGAGGAAATTGAGGCGTAAAGAGGTTAAAGGACTTGTTTACGGTCACACAGCTAAGAAGGATCTGGGACACAACTGGAACTCCAGTCTTCCTGACTCCAAATCCAGTGCCCTATCTACACCATTTGAATTATGTAACTCATTTATTATCAATATTTTGGTTAAAACAGGCAGATTGCTTAGTTATGCTCTCGTGACATACTCAAATTGATATGCTTCTGACCTACATTTTCCACATTATATATATATATATAAAATCTATATATTTTCCTTGTACAACTGTAACTGCTACATCCAACATTATGCTGAATAGCAGTGATGAAAGTAGCTGCTCAAGCTTTGTGCCCATTTTTAAATGAAAAAAAAAAAAAATTTTTTTTTTTAGGATAGGCAATAGGGGTAAGTGACTTGCCCAGGGTCACACAGCTAGTAAGAGTTATGTGGCTGAGGCTGGATTTGAACTCAGGTCCTCCTGAATCCAGGGCTGGTGTTCTATCCACTACGCCACCTAGCTGCCCCTTAAATGAAAATATTTTTAAGGTTTCTTTATGACCTATTGTTTTGGCTCTTGGTTAAAAAGAGATGCTTTCAATGTGTTGAAGAAAAATCTCTATTTCTATTTGTTTTTTAGTGATTTTTACAATGAATAAATGATGTTAATTTAAAAGTTTTGCTGCATTTATTGATATAACAATACATTTTGTTCATATATTATATTGTCTTAATAGTTTTCTAATGTTAAATCACCACTTCATTCTGGGTATAAATCCTTCCTGATATAACGAATGAGTCATATTGCTACATTCTGTCAGCTATTTTATGTTGTATTTGTGCATATTCACTGATTCACTTGTAAACTGCTTCATAACTTTAGTGTTATCTTTTTTAAAAGTCAACAACATATTTGCTTTATAAAAGGATCGCCTGTATTTACAATAATATATGTAACAAATTGTTTATCAGGTTTAGTCCTATTTTAATGACTCATCAATATGTGGAGGTGACCCTAGATTGTTACAAACTGTGGAGCAAAAAGCTCTGGCAGATTCTACCACACAGCAGAGTTTTTGAGAATGATGACCCAGACAACAGACTATGTTGACCTTCCCAGGACCAACCTTCCTAAGAGTGAACCTGAAGACTGGCCACTTCAAATCAGGACACATTTTTATGAAGCACCTACTATATTCCAGGCACTATGCTAAGCAATAGGGACACAAATATGGGCAAAAAAGATAGTCCCTGCTCTAAAGGAGTTTGTGATCTAATGGCTGAGAAAAATAATATGTAAAGTGAGTTGAAGTACCTGAGCAGGGAGGCAGTGGTGAGAATAAAGGATGGCTGTCCTAGGTCTTTCCTCAAAATGTATTTTCTAGGAGGAAGGCACCAATGGGAGAAGGGAGACAGAAGGAAAAAGCAAGTGGAGCATGGTGGAAAAATCCAGGAAGTGAAGCAGAGTTGGTCTGGGACTTTTCTCAAAATGGAGATTCTAGGAAGAACTCAACAATGGAAGAAAGGGGCGACCAGGTGGAGGGAGAAGACAATTAAAGCATGGCAATGGTTTATTCTTTGGCCACGGAAATTCATTAAGAGGAAAATTACAAAGTGGTTCTAGGTGTAGGCTACATTCTACTGGTGTGTATATAAATATCAGCTTAATTATTGGTACTCTAAATATGAGAGCCTTATAGAGTGAGTGAACATATACTGGAAGAACGAATCACATCAATCTTGACATTCTTGCAATAAAATGAAACCAGAAGACCAAAAGAAGTAGCAGCTACATAGAAGGATGCTCACAGGTTCTCCTTGGAGAGGAAAATAAGAAATATCATTTCATGGGATACTTCCT